GAAGATTAGTGTTCTGCTATTAATATAAAGATTTTGGGATTGGTGTAGCTTATATATTACAGTGACTAAAATTCCTCAGTGGGTTAGCAAATGTGTAAAATCATTTTCTTTTACTAAAATAGTTTGTAATTAAAATGTAAAATTTATATCAAATTTTTCTTTTATATGGAAAGCTTTCTTCCTTTGTCAAAAGGAAAAATCTTTTATTTGATAAATGTTTGGGTTCTACTTGAGAAAAGACTGCAGAATGTATTTGCAAACACAAGAATGGCTAAGAAAAATTCTGTCTCTTGGTTACTGGAGCAGAAGTCAAACTCGATCTTTTCTGATTTGGTGAAAAGCTTTAAAAATTGATAATACTTTTTGAATTTGAATCCTGCATTTTTTTTAATACTAATTTATCATATATATTTGAAATCTTTATTTTCTGTATAGTGAATAAAAAAATTATAATTAGATTTGAGTGAAAAGAAAAAATAATCAAACTATACACACACAGTCAGATTTTATTCTGGTAGTGAATTTTTTTCATAGTAAAGTTAGTATTAACCAACTGATGTTACTTTTCAGCATATACTTATAAATATACTATTAAATTTCACTTTAAAATATCTGTTTTTATTAGAAATATTGCTTAATAACTTAATGGTGTAAGATTTTATTATGCAACTTGAGAGTTGTCTATCATATTGTAAATAAATATAATTATGCAAAAATGTTTGATAAGATATGACACAAAGAACTGTTGGAACTGCTAGGTAACGTTGACATTTGGGTAGGATATTAGAATAATCCAGAATATATACTGGCAACAAACCACCTGTATATGGAGTGAAAATGAATTCTGTAAGTATACAAAAATAGAAAAGAGTGTAAGGTAAGGATAGGTCTTTACACTGGACTCTTTGAACCTCTACAGTGAGACGATTCTGACAGAATTAGAAATTCTCCCAAAATTCATTATTGGCAGCCACAATCTTAACAATATAAGATATGCAGATGGCACAGTGTTGATAGCAGACATAGAAAGAAAATTACAAGAACTCTTATGACCTCTTAGTGCCTGCTCATAATAATTGTTAACATGTAGCCTGAAACGTTTGATTCTCATGTCCACTGGCTGATCTGTAATAGTCTGTTAAATAAGGTTAAATCTCCTATCCCTCCTCTCTTTACTTAATTTGAGGTGTTAACATCTATGAATAAAGTACAATGTTTTGCTCATAAATTCTCTTCAAATTCTACTCTTGACTCATCTGGAGTATCTTTGTCTGACTTTCCACCTAGAATTGAGACTCTATTGAGTGATATGCTCAATGATATGTATGATATCCTGAACTGGTCCGTATATTAAGAAATCTTGCAAACCATTTGATCATTTTTACCTATCAGATTTCTACCTCTTTTTTGGCATTGTACTAGAGCAGTGGATCTCAACCTTTTTTTACCCATGGACCCCTTTCCCCTTCTTTTTATCTTGGTGGACCCCTTCATAGCTATTGGACATAAGAACAATTTTCTATTCTTCACTAATATAAATTTTAAGGTTTTAATTATCAAAGAAATAGTATACGATTAAGCTTTATTTTTAAATGAAAACTAATTTAATACAAATAAAATATTCTACTATAATTATAATAATAATTATTATTACTATTTTTAATTAACACAACAATTGAGTTTTGCCTGTGGACCCCCGGAAATATTACATGGACCTCTAGGGTCCATGTAGACCCCGGTTGAGAACCACTGTACTAGAGGCTCTAATCAACTTTGAATTGGTTAAGTATATCACCTTGCAGGCATATCTTTCAGGCAATATGGCTTTCACTTCTCTAGGTCAACTGCTGATGTATTAATAATTATTGTTTAAAGTGTCTATCAAACTTTAGATAAGAATGGTGAAGCTCTGACTGTTACTTTGGATATCATGATGGCACTTGACCAGGTTTGGCATACTGGTTGTCTTCTGTACAAGTTGAACGGTTATGGCATTCTGGACAAATTCTTGAACTGATTTAATCTTTATCAAATTGTTAAAGGAATAGCTTGTTAATTTTAATGCCTCCAAAGTGAAACTGCTCTCTTAATCATTTGACAGAACATTTTTTTTGTTTTCTATCAGCATGGCTGATGCTTACTTCCAGAAGGGTGACTTATTGCGCCTTCTTGGGCTAACATTTTCCACTGACATGAAGTGGAAAGATTATATTGAATCAATTGCTATGTCTGCTACTAGGAAAGTTTGTTCACTGTGTGTGTGGAGAGCTATGTTGGACTATTTAATATTGAATTTTGTGTGTTGCACCTAGTGAGAATTGCACTCATTACAACCAGATTACCCTTACTAACTATTACCCATGTTAAGGTTTATTCAGTTTGCAATGTTGTATTAATCAACTCTATATTTTGGATTTATTTATGAATAATAAAAAAAAATTATGCTGGACTTGGTTTGTTTGCCGATTAAAGCCCCGAGACTCTCCTAAACAAATTAAAAATAAAATAAAATAGAGATTGTTATTATAAGCAGAAACTCACCTGATATATTGCTCATATAAATAGAAGTAAATCATGAAAATTTTACTAACATCAGTTGCTTAATACCAATTTTAATTTGTGCAAACAGTTAGGCTGAGTGGTTAAAATGTTTGCTTTCTGACCATGAGACCCGGATTTGAATCTTAGTATGGTCAATTTGTCAGGAAGGTGACTTCTTGACCTTATCAATCTGGAGGAGCCGATCCCAGTGTGCTGCACCTTTTGGAAAGTGCCTGAAAACCATGCCACAGGTTCATCCAAGTCTTATGAGTGCAGTTGGGTAGATAGAACCTTTGGGAGTCATTGATAGTGTGCTAGCACAAAGTCACAAGTCATTATGACTGAGGGTTTGAGTGTGCTGGACTTGTTCAGACTGTTGATCACGCTAGATAATGTGCGCTCTCCCAGAAACTGTAACTAAGGTCCACTCAGCATTAGTTGCAAGTATAAACCACAGATAGGCTCTGGGTGTTAAATAAACACAAATGTGCCTGAGCAGGCGTCTGCAATAGAGATTAGCTAGATGTCCTGGTAGACAAGCATCCTTGGATGCAAGTGGCTGCTTCATTTAGATTTAGAAACAGTGACAGTTACTGCTACAAAAATGCTTCTCATAAAACACACAAAAAATTACCCCCTTATGGAAATGGTTAAAACCAGAAAAAACAAGTCTAGACAAGTTCTCTACACACTTGGTCCTCAAAAAAGAAAACTTCAAAAGACAAGAAAAATTTTAAAAAAAAATCAAAAGATGTGCCTTGTCCATCATTTTTAATGAAACTTACATAAAGGATATGTCAGGTATTTGAGAACACCTCTTATAAAATGGAAGAAGACAACCTAATGTTATGTGGCATGTGCCAAATTTTAACATTTGCATGTATAGAAAACATTAACAAGGCAGCTTCCAATCTAAAATAGAAAATGAAAAGGTATAGGCTACCAACCACGCCAGCTTGAAATTGTCCCTGGTGAATAGGAAGGATAGGTGGCTTTACTTGACATCCATGCCTGTGGTGATACACCCAAATTTCATCTTGTTTTAGATATCCCTGTGTATTGCTTGCAACAAAGGCTATATCATGCCATATTCCCACCTCATCCATGTAGGGCTTCAGGATCAATGCTACGACCTCCATTGAGATGCTGGACATAGTGATCAAGTCCTTGATTGAGGGGATGGCTATTCCCGTAGGTCTCTTCTCCTTCCTGCATAGCCCAAGAGTTTCTGGCAGAGAATCTTTGCAATCATCTCCATTCAGCATGTGGTCTCCAAGATTTCTTCTGAGCTACTATGTCTAGGGCATCTTAGAGAGAAAAACCAATGGCCCCACAATCTTAAGGACTCATTGAAGGCTACCATTGTGGATGTGATGACCAACATGAGAAAGATCCACCAGATGTAGATATGCAGTTGTTTCCAATATCACTGTTGTGGGTTTGATTGAATAGCCCCCTCCCCCCTACCATCCCCAATATAATTTTTTTTTTCGATTGAATATCTTTGTTTTTCTTTATTTTGTTCTCAGTTACCTGATATAACCTGTGTGTCTGTGTATGTATATGTGTGTATATATATATATATATATATATATAAAACACAATACAATTAAATATGTATACACATGCAGAAATGGTGAATGTGTGCCTACTGATTAATAAAGTTAATGAATATTTTCCCTGCATTTCATGCTTTTCCAAGCAAAATATACTTAATATAATTATTACTTTATTTTTAATCATGTCCATGCTGATGAAATGTCCATTTGCCCTCGGCATATTGCTATCATTGATTTTTCTTCATTGCTATTTGTAAACATTTCTATTTTAGCAGCTCATTTCAGTTTTGGCTTTTAGATTTATGAAGCTACATTTTAACAGTTATTCTTCTTCTGTCTTTATTTGCAGAAATCCATGTCATAACGCAAATTATTATAATTTATTCTCATAATATTAAGTTTATTTTTCTTTTTGGTCTCTAAATTTTGTTCTCGGTTGAGAATATACCCCCCCCCCCTTCAACTAGATCTATATGAACAAGATTTATTACATGGTCTTTTTTTAATATTGGGAAAATGTTTTAAAATCATTTTGAATAAGATTTGATATTGATGCATGATCGTGTTTATATGGTATGTATAAAATATACTTTGCTGATAATATTTTGATTGCTGTTTTTATTGTAATTTATATGTTATTTTAAATTGAATTTTAAGCATATGAATCAGTATATATTCCTGAAATAATCTCTAATATTTTAATTTACAGTTCTTTATCATTAGCATTTTATACCATATAAGGCAATTTTTTTATTTTTTATTTTTTTTTTTTACAAATGTTATTTTGCATCAGCTGTTTGATTAATTGATGTATTTCTGGACTGTCTGTTTCTGCTTCTTTAGAGACTTCTCGTGACCTTGTCATTGCATTTAAATATTGTTTTGTTCTTTCTATTGCAGTGGTAACTTACTGGACAAAATGAGGGAGGGGGAAAGTACTGGTCAGGAGGAGAACCCTGAAGTGGCCTCCTTGACAGGTAAGAAAAACTTCTTTTTAAAAATTTCATCTGTGCTTTCAGTTAACTTACTTTGATGTAAAATAATAATTTTTGACAAAGAATCAAATGTTTTCACCACCTTATTTGTAACATTTATAGTTTGCTTATTATTTTCCATCTCCTTCCACCGTTGATGTTTTGAATATTTGTTGAGACTTTTATTTGCATTACATTTTAAAAATATGATTTAGTCAACTTAGGATATTAAATTCACATTGTATAGTTTGTATATTATTTCTATACAGTTTTATTTTTATTGATGAATATAGCTGTTCTCTGTGTATTTTAATTTTAATAGCATTTAACCCAGCAATTGCTTAAAGTAACTATTTTTATAGATGATGCTATTAGGTATTTACTTGAAAAATGGATTTCTTGTATCTTAGGCTGCAGGAAGTGTTAGAAATGTATGTCGTCTTTTTAAAAATTTATTTTTTTAATAACTCAAAATATCTTTTGATTTGTTGTGTTTGTCCTTAATTTTCAGACAATGAGTACCAATAAATATTACTTTAACCCCATCATTAATGGAAAAAGTATTTGTTGAATTTCTTTGCTTTTATAGAATTTTTTAAAGATTTGTTTTTTAATTTTAGTGTAATTTGCATTTAATGCAAACATTTTTTGCAATAAGATTTCGTTTTTGTTTTCTTAAAATGAGCTAATCAGTAAGCCTTTTCCGTTCATTGTTGTTAATTTTGAGAAGTTATTCCACTGCAAAAGTTAGGGGCTAAGTAAAGTGTATTTTAAATCCTTTACTTCAATTTAAAAAAGGAACAACTTTAAAAAAATTGTTTATTTGTGCACATTTTATTCTATACTTATTTTGGACAAGAATAATCTAATTAAAAATAGAATGCAAATTTGGTTTTTAAATAACTTTACACAGTTAAGAGATATTTTCAGCATGTGTAATATGAAAATACATCATCATTATTAGTTTATTCCACATCTACAGTTATCTTCTTCACGGTCATCCAGACACCACTTGTCAATCTAATTTTTCCTCTTCCTCAGAGAATTTGGTATACACACAAATTTTTTAGTACTTACAGAGTGCTAAAAAATTCTTAGCCTAACCAAGAAAAAAAATTTTGGAAGTGGGCCAGTACATTTAACTTTATGGCACCTTCTTTCATAATTATATAAAAGAATCTCCTCTTTCTATGTTATCTGTTTTGTTCACTCTTTATCTTTCTCCTTGGGTCCCTTGGGTAGGGACCCACATATACATACAAACTTAAATTTTATAGTATGATATGAAAATAAACCTCATTTTCTTTATCAGTTTATTTTCCCTGTCTTCTTTCCAAGTGTCTGGGCAGTTCATTTAGAAATAAAAAATATTTCTTACTTTTTAATGGTAATATGTCATTGATTGGTGAATAGAATTGAATAAGGCCTTGTCAAAATATTATAGATTTCACTAGCTAAATATTACACTTTGCTGCTCCTGTGACTTTTATTTGATTTCTGTTGCAAATGAGTTTGCTTCTAACCAACTGTTCTGCTAACATAATTAAATGTGCATTGTTATCTTGGGTATTTTTCAATATTCCAAGTTCAGTTATGACCAGTCCATTCACATTATTGATTGCTGCTTGCAGACAGGCTTTCAATATGCTTGCTGGAAATGCAAAAAACAAAAGCTGATTTCCTTTCTGGTTTTTAGATTTGGTCAGTCTATTCAAACAATAAAGAATGTATGAAATAAATATTTCAAAAGCCAATTTCTGCCAGTATCAAAACGCTTAATCACTCCTTGTTTTCATTTTTTTTTTCCATAGCTCGATAGTTTTTCATAATTATTGTGACTGCAGATATTTCATATTTTATTGTAGTTTAATATGCTGCAAACTTATTTTTCTGTACAGGTTGTAGAATTTTTTTTTAGTTTGGACATATGTTTTAGAAAACTTGTATTAATTTATAAGGAAAAAAGTTAATTTATCAGTCCCTGGACACCAGAATTTTATGAAAAATATGCTATGAATCTGAAACTTTCAGTTATTTTAAATCAATTAAGTCAATTTAAAATATTTTTAATGCTTTCATTTCAAGAATTTTACAATTAAGTCACAAACTTCTTTCAAAAAGAATTGTTATATTTATTGTATTATCTATAAGAATATTTTCATAAAGGTTTATCATTAAAGCACATCCTAACATTATTTTTTTCTAATTTTTACTTGAAGCAAAGCAATAAAGCCACTAAGATACAAAGGGTTGCTGAGTGTGAGAGAATATGAGAAAAAACATTAAGAAGAGAGAAATATAAAAGAACAGGAGTTAAGAAGACAGAAGATAAGGATTGACATTGCATTTAAAATTTTGAAGATCAAAGTTGACTGGAAAGCAAGAAGCTGGATGAAGCGAGAAGTGTGAGAGCTCAAACTGTTAGCATAGAACTTACGGTTACATCTCATCATTTCAATTCGAAAATGATGAGACCCTGCCACCAATCTAGTATTGCACTTAAATTCATAAAGGTTATGGTTACCAAAGAGGAAAGCTCATCGGGAAAATTACTGTGAAAATATTTCTAAAAAAGGCAGAGGAGAAACTATATTACATCATCAAAATGCCAGGTTAGGACCAATAACATTTCAGATTCTTTGTATTTTATCTAGGATCTCTCAAACATCAGAAGTACCAGATCAAATGTGGCAGTAATATTTAATGCATAGTAGACTTATAAATATGTAAGATAGATCCTAGTGAGAAAAATTGTGTAGCACAACATAATGAACCAACTTTCCTAGCAGCAGACCTAGCAATTGATTCACTCTAATCTTTCCATTTCAGGACAATGGAAAATATTAGCCCAAAAAAGCACAATGAGTCACTGACCTAGAGTTTAGCATCAGTCCTTCTGATGGAAGGCAAAAAAGGATTCTGTCAGATGATTAAAAGAGAGCAGTTTTCAAGGTGTTAAAATTATCTATAAGTATATGATGTGTTGGGATCAAATATGGATTGGAATGATTACAATAAAGAACAAATAGGAAACGTTTATCAATCTAATATGTTTCATTTTTATTCCAGCTTCATCAGAGGATGGAGAAAAAGAAGAAATTCTGGTATTTTTACTTTTGTGTTTGTCGATTTGCATTGGTTAATCATGTTTCATGTGTATTCAACTTTTGAAACCAATGTTAGTATAATTGAAGTAAAAGATTTGTGGCATTTCAAATTCAAGGACATATGAAGTGTCCTTCCAAAGCTTAAAAAAAATCGCCTACCTATATGTATGTAAGTGTATAATAATTCTAGTTCTAATTTGGGATTCAGATGATAATGTATATTCGTAAGTGTGTGTGTCTGTGTGTGTCCAGTAGACATTGTTTGTTGATTTTGCACATGTCGATTTGGGAATGTATTTATGTACATACCATTTGTTTTAGATAAACATACATTAGATTCTTTAAGAGTAGATTCAATAAAGGTTGGTGATGTAATATGTTTTTGATGTGTATTTATAATTGGTAATATTGTTATTAGTAGACACTTGAAATACTTTTTTCATAAAGAATTGTTCTTTTTTTTTTAAATTGGGTGGTATTAGCAAAATCAAAGTTATAGCCAGTTTTGTTCCTGTTCCTGTGTTTTACAAGTGTTTGAATGGTTGTCTAAATGTAGATCTCTCTTATTTTCGGCAATACACACTTCTTGATCTTGTTATGTTTCTCCAACATAATTCTTCTACAATGTAAACAATTTATTTGATAAGTACCAGCATTTGAATTGGTGAATTGGTTCTGGATTTATTTTTCTTCCTAATTTTATCCTGGATTGTCTTGGATGTGGTGGTAAAAATCTTAGCACTTGGGATAACTAATTTATTTACAAATTTAGTAAAATATTTACTTTTAGACAACCAATCAAACTCTCTTGTAATACACAGGAAAAAAAACTGACCATAACTTTGATTTTACTAATGCTACCCTAATTAAAAAAAGAACATGATTCTTAACAAAGAAAGTACTAATAGCTTACTAATAACAATAAATTCACTTTAAAAACATTAGTGCATTACCAACCTTTATTGAATCCATTGTAAAAGAATCGAATATACGTTTATCTAAAACAAATGGTATGTACGTAAAAATGTTCCCAAATCAACATGTGAAAAACCAGCAAACATAATGTCTACTAGACACATACACTTACGAATATATATTATCATCTAAATCCCACATAGACAAACTAGAATTATTATATACTTACATACATAAAGCAAGATTTATGGTTTTTCAGGTAGTCTTGAAATCTGTTAATTTCTTGAAACTTTGGATCAATGTGTCATCTCTTTTTGAATTCAGAATGCCACAAATTATACTAACATTCATTTAAAAAGTCGAATGCATGTGAAACATGATTAACCAATGAAAATCAAACAGTACAAAAGTAAAGATACCAGAATTTCTTTCTACGTTTTTTTTTCTATATCTTATTAGCTGATGAAACTTTTTATAAACGTGAAACATGATAGACTGATAAACATTTTCTATTTGTTCTTTATCTTATCATGTAAGTATCTGTAAAGATCATAGAAGTATATATTATAATGTACTTTGTATAAGGATTTTCTATATGCAATGCTTTGGCTACTTGCCATGACACCTGGAGAGTTAGTCTGAAGACTGACTTCAAATGGCTACTAGTCTAACCTCTGACCTGGAGCTCTTATAGTAATGAACTAGTTCATATAGTTACTGGGGTGGGGGTGTACTATTTATTCTATACCCCCCCCCTTTTGAGATTAATACTTTTATAAATATTTTATTTTTCATTAGTATCAGTATCTCCCCCTCTTAGTTTGCCAATGTACTTTGTAGTGTTTCTGTCTCTGATCCACTTCCAGTTCTTAAATATGCTTTTTAACTTGTCCTTGTAGGTTACATGACTTATGGTGCTGGCACATCAAAGACATCATATAGCATGGTTCTTCCCATGTTTCAGGTCTTTCATCACTGAAT